TGGGCCTCTCCTCAATATTGTGTACCAGGCTAGCGGTATTGCTTCAATGATCCTCTCCAAATTTTGATCAATGTGGTGGCAATACCTCAAAGCTTTGTGTAGTTCATCTGCCGTTTTCCAGCAACGCCGTTTACAGTCCCAGATGTCCGTTATACGGGTGACCCCGTTTTTTACCCAGCTTTTCCATGGGGTTACTGAACTGCACATGACCTGGCTGTTTCTGTCAGTGAGCCAGCGGTTTCCGAAGAGGGGTTGACGGAGTACCTCCTCCCATCGGTCCGGGTCTTCCTTGTTTGGGAGGGGGAGTTTCCGCCAACTTCGCAGGAGTGATGGCCAAAAGCCGTCCATTCGTTCTCTGGGCTCCCCCCGTCTCCGTGGCCACTTTCGCGGGATCGTCCAATAGTGGTCCTCTAACCAAGTTAGGGGGTGCACCCCCGTGGGGGCCTGAGGGGCTATGCGAGTCAGGTGTTCTAGAGCCAAAGGTTTCCAAGGGCTGTCGTTTTCAAAAATCAGCTTCTTGATCCACTGGAGCCGGAGTGTTGTGGTTTGAGCTGTAGGATCAATTATCCTTAAGCCCCCTGCAACTTTGGGTTGTATGATCGAGTCCTACGCCACCCTACTTATTACATTTGTTAGTTCTCCATCCCCACGCCATAAGAAGGCCGCTACTTTGGCTTTTAGTGTGCGCAATGCCTCCTTGCTCAGTGGCCACACCAGTGACTTATACCAAAGCGAGGCAAAAACCACGTTATTTATTACCAGTGCTCGTCCAAAAAGGGATGTGGTCTTGTTTCGCCAGTTGGATAGTTTGGTTAGGGCGGGGGAACTGATCCATTCATCATTTATTTGAGGGCGGCCGATCGCTGTTATTGACACCCCCAGGACTCTCAGCGGCGCTTCAAGGGGCAGCCAGGAGACAGGGGGGGTCTCGGGGGGGCGTCCCCCTTGGTAATGGATCCACCATCCTTGTGTTTTATTTCCCCAGTTAATTGTCATATATGAGACTAGGGAGAACTTGTCCATCATATTTTTGATTTCTTCTAGATTATTTGTGGTGACTTCCATCATGACCGTAAGGTCGTCTGCAAACAAGGAACACACTGGGATTGCTTCCTCTAGGATGTTGGTTATTTTGATCCTAGTGATGTCCTTGTTTGCACGGAGATTTGCCGATAGTGCTTCCATAATGATCAGAAACAGGAAAGGCGCTATAGGGTCTCCTTGTCGAACCGACCTTTCCAACTGTATTGGGGGGGCCAAGCAGCCGTTTAACTGTATACAGGTGGTGGCGTTGTGATGGAGGATATGAATCCATCGCCGGAAAACCGGCCCGAAGTTCATTTTCTGCAGACAGCTATCCAAGAATTCCCAATCTACGTGATCGTAGGCCTTTTCAAAATCTATGAAAACCATGGCCACGTTGTTGCGTGAATGTCTGGCCAGTTGGAGGACTTCGTGGACCAGCAATATCCCACATCACTTCCCAGAATTCCTTGGGAAGCCCGTCAATGTCCGGGGTCTTTTCTTCCTCCATTTGCATCAGGGCTGTCCAGATTTTCTGTCTGGTCAGGGGGCCTTCAAGGCTTTCCCTTTGTATGTCTGTTAGGGATTTGTTTAGGGGGGCTAGATATTCTTCGATCATTTCTCGGCGCTTCCCCTCTGTGTGTGGTGGAATGTGTGAGGAAAATAGGTCTTTATAGAAGTCTCTTGCGATCTTGATGCATCTGGTCGTGGAAAGGGCAATGCCTTCTCCGCTTGCTCCCGGATCATACAGGGCTTCTATGGTAGAACGTTTTGCTCTAAATTGCGTAACGCCAAAAAAATGAGCATTCATTTCCCCTTCTGTTGTGAATTTTGATAATTTTGCCCGAATCCTTGCGCCTTGCCAGCGGTAACGGGCTTGTTGGAAAAGTTGTTCTTTTAATATCTGCATACGATGTTGCCCCTGTCGTGTCTCTGGGGGGTCCTGTTCATGCGAATCTTCTTCCTGCTCAAGTTCTTGTTCGAGTTCTTGTTCGAGTTCTACCAGTGGATGCATTGTTTCAATCTCCTGTCGGTGTCTCTGTGCTGCCATTTGTTTGGAGAATTCATTACTTTTTTTTGCTAGGAAAAGGAGACCATTATTAAACCATGTGATATGTGAGTCGAGTTCCGGACGACGCTCTTGCCAATAGGACCACACTTGGTGCAGATATTGTTGAAAGGAGTCAAGGTGCAGTAAGGATGTGTTGAGTTTGTAGAACCCGGGCCCACGGTCCGGTTTCTTACGGAAAGTCAAAGCCGACATGCACATTCTGTGATCTAGGCCCGGGAAGGGGCTAGGAGGAAGAATCGCTGTCTGTGTCAGGCTCCCTTCCAACGATTCCGATAGAAGTATCAGGTCGATCCGGGACTTGGAGAGGCGGGTGTGATCGTTGTTCCATATGCAAGAGAAAACCCAGTCTGTGGGGTAGAGGCGCCTGAAGGAGTCGAAGAGAGAGAGAGTGCTGCACAAATTTTGGAGCATTTGCTCGTCCTCTTCAGCATTTCTCATTGTTGAGGGGGGGACTCTCCACCGATCCTGCCACCGGTCTGGTGCTGCGTTGAAGTCACCTGCGAGAATTACCGGGATGCCTGGCTGTACTTTGGTTTCCATCCTTTCCAGGAAGGCTCGTCGCTCGTGTACTGCGTTGGGGGCGTAGATGCAGATGATGTTGATTATTTCTAACTCCAGCATTCCAAGTATGGATATCCACCTTCATTCCTCCTCGTCCTTTTCGCAGTACACTACTTCGAGCCTTGATTTTGGCGGGATCCAGATTGCCACTCCGGCCTGGCCTGGGCCAGGGGCATAAGACTGGTAAGATTGAAAGGGCCAGGCCATCCTAAGGGTCCTATGATGGTTTGGTGTGTCCATGAGGTGTGTCTCTTGGACACAGACCACGTCGGGCCATTTTCTTCCTCCTACCCCCCTCAGCATGTCCCACAGAGCCTAGGTCTTGTCTTGGTTGAGGGTTGCGAGTCCATTTACGTTGATTGATCTTAGGTCCAAATCCACTGTTTGTAGAATCTGTTTCCAGACTTTGTTTTTACTGTATACGGCGTCAACCCAATTCATCTGAGTGTGGGCTGTTTTTCGCTACCCCCATTCTGATGTTTCCTTCCCCTCCTTTTTTAGAGCCTCTGCCACGGCTGTTTGTCCCAGATCACTGCGCCGTTGAAAATATTTTTGCGTGATATTTTACACAGGCAGGTGAGCAGGTCGTCCCCTGACCAGGTGTGACTGGGCTTTACTTTAAGGCTCTGCAGCTCCAGCAACGTGTTATGATTGAGCCAGGTAAGTCCTGAGTCTTTGTGTTCTTCAAAGCGGACGTATACATCCCAATCCGCCACCTTGTTAGGACCCCCTGACGCTACCAAGGAGGCTGTGGCCCCAGATTCATAATGGGCTGTAATAAAGTCCCGGACTTTGGTGAGGTTGAATCCTCCCGGGTCTTCCTGTCTCCACCAGTGGAGTGTTATGCCCCCAAAGTTGGGGGTATAATCATTATGATCAGCTGGCGATAAACCAACCTCCCATCGTTCCCCCTTGTTGCGGACCGGGATTACCAACACATTTCCCCGGGATGTTAGCGGGGTCTCCTGTCTTCCTTAAACAACCAGGTGGCGTATTTTAGATCTCTGTCCGGGTTCTAGTTCCTCAGCTGCCTGTTCCCCTAATTCTGCTGTTTTCGGTTCTGGACTTTGTGCGGTGTTTTGTACATTCCGTGTGTCCGGTGGTCTGCCTGTTTTGGTCCCCCCTTCTCCCTCCTTACCTTCTGGACTCCGTGCAGTGTTTTGTGTGTTCGGTATGTCCGGTGGTCTGCCTATTGTGGTCCCCCCGTCTCCCTCCTTGTCTTCCTGCTGGGGGGGGGGGTTAAAGAGCCCCCTGATGACGTGCCATATTCTGTGCAGCGTTATCTGCCGGCTCGTGCCTGGTGGGAGTCCGTTTTCCAGGATCTGCTTCAGGGTATCGCTGCTGTCCAGCAGGCCAAAGAGATGCACATACGAGTCATCCCAAAAGGCTGTCGATTGATGCGGGTATAGTCTTCTGAGTTGTTCCAGTAGCCATTCCGTTAGGCCTTTCAGTTTTGTCTCAAGATCTCCCTGTACCAGGGGGAAATCTTGCGGTTCTGCTCCCGCGTCGGTCATTTCGATGTCTGGGATGTGTGGGGGTTTGTCCACGTCCATTGGCTGAGATCCAAAAGCCGGGCCGAGCGGATCTGTATTCTGGTCGCTTGGCAGGGGCGGCCAGGACTGTGAGGGGGGCTTTTCTGTTTGAACTTCTTGTGGTTCCTTCTTTTCCTTCGGAGTGGTTTTGCTGTTGTCCGAAGGCAGCAGTCCTCTGGGACCCCCTTCCGCTGCTGTCTGGCCTGTCTGTGTTGTTGTTTGGCCACCCCCCTCTGTGACCAATGCATGTGCTGCCATTTGATTGTCCCCTGCACCTTTTCCTTCTGTCCCTCCTCGTGCCCCCCCTCCTGCCATGTCCGACGACAGCAGTCCTCCGGGAGCCCCTTCCGCTGTCGTCTTATCTGTGAGTGTTGTTATTTGGCCTCCCCCGTCTGTGACCACAACATGTGCAGCCATTTGGTTGTCCCCTGCAGGTCCCAGAGGGGATTGACCGTCCTTTACCTCACATTTTCTGCTGGGCCTGCTCCTATTGTGCTCCACCACATAACACTGTACCTGTGCCACAGTGCCACCGACAGTCTACGGGTAGCCATGTGCTGGACTGCGGTAGTCAGACCCTGGCCGGGAAGAGTATGACAACTCTTCTCCTGTGGTCCGCCGGTGGCTAAGTCCCACGAGCGGGGGTTTGATCTTCCCATCTAAGCGTATTTAACTACTACTATGACCAGGATCGCAGGGCAGTCGCGAGATGTTCAGATGGGATGGCAGGAACCGGTGCGTTCTCGAAACCAAGCCCGAATGCCCTCCAGTGGGACTTAGACGCATATCAACATGTCATGTACCGCGTGTCAACGTGTTCTATACTTGGAAGCACGAAGCAGACAGCAGCTCCACGCGCCGACATGTCCTGTACTACAGAATAAGGGGGTCATAGCCAGAAAGTAGCTGTAAGGAAGTGCTGCTTTGGTGGAACGAGCAGGAAGAGGAGGCAGAAGGAGACGGAAGGAGACGACATGTGCGTCGCCTTTTGGGTCATTGAGCGGCACCCGATCTACAGGCTTGTTCTGGCATTCAATCGCGATGAATATTATGACAGACCGACGCGTTGCATGCATTTCTGGGAGGATATGCCATCGATCTTGGCCGGTCGGGACTTGGAAAAGGGAGGGACCTGGCTCGGGGTGTCGCGATCCGGACGGATTGCTTGGCTAACTAACTTGGGTACGCCAACCCCAATGGTCCCGACGAGTCCTGTTGGTCCTCCTCCTCTTCTCTCCCGTGGGGCGTTGATTCGAGAGTTCCTTGCAGGTAATGAATCTCCTATGAATTACTTGCGTAGGCTCTCCTCGCTCATCTCCGGAGGCGACGCCTCTTATGGTGATTTCAACCTTGTCGTTGGTGATCTGTGCAAGGGAGAATTCGGGTACTTGGCGAGCCAAGTACCCAAGCACAGGATGGGCCCACAGATGGGGCCAGTGGCGGGACCACACATCGTGGAACTGCAGGGACCAACGCAACTTGGGCCGGGAATACACGGCATGGGGAACGAAGTCATGGGCACGATGTCTATGAGGATAGATAGAGGCAAAGGCGTCCTGCGGGAACTGATGATGGGAGAGGGAGGGGAGGAGGAGGAGGAGGTTTGCCTGGAGAAGGTGGCTGATGAATTGCTAGGAGACAAGGAGATAGCTCGGGGGATAGTTCGGGGGTTAGTTCGGGAGATAGTTCAGGAGGAGATGATGGAAGACAGCTTCTCAGTACAACATGTGGCATATAGGTTGCAAAGATGCGAACAGAGAGAGAAGGAGGAGAGGGAGGAAGACGGGAGGTGGTCTGAGACTGCTGGAAATGTAGTGTCAGGAAGCAACTTGAAGGCCAAGATGGTGGAGGAGGGGGAGGAGGAGGAGGAGGAGGAGGAGGAGGAGGAGGAGGAGGAAAGCAGAGAGGGCATCGCAAAGGAAGGAGAAGGGGAGCAAGGGGGGGATGGAGGGGAGAAGGCAAGCACTTATGGGTTCGACTGGGTTGGACAGAAGGAGAGAGCTCAATCTCCTGTGATGGACCAAGAAGAAGAACTGCCGGTTGCAGATTTGGGAGAAGGTGGAGAGGGGGAGGTGATGAGAGAGGGTGGTGTTCAAAGTTCACAAGCACGCAGCCCTTTGAAGAGAGAATCAGAAGAAGGGAGTTTCATTTTCCGTCCTCCGACAGCCGATCCTCGAGGCAAGTTGTTCGGAACGCGGAGTTGTATCGTTCTAACGGCGACTAAGGATGGAGTCGTACAGGTTTACGAGAAGTATAGAGATGACTTGGGGGAGTGGAAACATAACCGATTCAGTTTTGAAGTGAAATCACAAGTGATCTGTGACCCCATGACTGGCTTATGATGGTCACGGACGAATGGCCCAGGACGATTCCCATGAAGAGGTACTGGTACTGGTACTGGTACTGAAGGAGGTGGAACGGCGGCCACTCGTTCAAGAAAAGGATATGGGTCAAGATAGAGGGGAGGAGCATCAAAGACAGCTCACTAGAGGAGCGCAGCGACCTGCCGGTCTGCCGTCTTCCCCCGAAATAGAAAGCATGGTCAATCTTGCTCTATCTGAACTGAAAGGTAACGCTAGACGCTACTAGACGGTGCCGGCTGAGCAGATGATTCCCGTTTCTGTTCTTGGTACATATTGGTACATTGTTTCTCGTGACTGACATTCTTACCCAGATCTGAAGCCTGCGCCTTCACCTTGCGACCTAGCAGCAGAGCAGATGATTGCTGTTTGTAAATAAATCTCGTTGTTTCTCATAACTGACATATCTTCACCCAGATCCTGCGCCTCCATCCAACGTTTGTTCAAAACTCCCGGCAGTCTGGTTGGAACATGGTGCCCTTTCTGCAGCCCCATCAGGCATCTCTCTCTCTCTCTCTCTCTCTCTCTCTCTCTCTCTCTCTCTCTCTCTCTCTCTCTCTCTCTCTCTGTGAAACTTGTCTTCCATCAGAACATGGTACCTGTTGTCAGGCAATAACGAGCACCGAAAGGAGAGAGAGAGATTCGGGAGAGAGAGAGAGAGAGAGAGAGAGAGAGAGAGAGAGAGAGAGAGAGAGAGAGAGAGAGAGAGAGAGAGNGAGAGAGAGAGAGAGAGAGAGAGAGAGAGAGAGAGAGAGAGAGAGAGAGAGAGAGAGAGAGAGAGAAGGAGAGAGAGAGTGTGTGTGTGTCGGCACTTGCTTTCTCGAGTTGGAGTGAGGTAGGGGATCAGACGGGAGCATGGTGCCGATATGGGTAGGCTGTACTAAACGCCGAGTAGTTAGGAATGCAGGGGAGGCTGTCGTGGGTTGGAGAAACGCCTTTTTCCCCGAACAGATCGTCAGTGAGAAGCTGTTATCTTTTAGCCAGACGATCATCCAGGGAAGCCCTGGGAATTATGCTCTGAATCTTCCCGACGCCAGGAGGGATGCTGTCGTCAAGGCTTGCAGTTGATTGGCGGTGGTTGGGATACCAACGCATTATCCAAATCGAAGGAAGATGGGGAATGCTAGAATCTTGATGCAGGAAGGATTTCTTCTTTTTTTTCCCTTTCAAATGCGGGATTTCTCATGGTGGTGGGACTCCGAGGGGGATTGCTAATAACTGGGTTGTCCTGAGAGGACAGTCCCGGATGGCCTGCAGGCTGGTACTTTCCAGAGGCTTGCGGGGTGCAAGGCCTAGTGCGGGGACGCCCTACTTGGTGGTCAGCAGTGTGTTATGCTATCATTCATTTTAGGTGCTTTGAAAATTTTGCTTGTCGTCAAAGTTCTACTGGCCGACGCAAGTCAACCACGTCGTGGTAAGCAGTTTGTTATGCCGTCATTCATTAGGACAAGAGAATTCCACGGGTGGAAGAGAAGTGAAAAAAAAAAAAGGGAGTTCGTCAGATGCCAAAGGTAGCAGGAGGGAAGGCATGTGTTAACACAACTTAACAGTGTTTTTTCCTTTCCATGTTTTCAAAAGGGCGACAGCCTTGATATATCATTGTGAAACTGACCGGTCCCAGGTAATTCAGGAATTCCGTTCATCTGGTTGGTTCCATCTGGATTCGAACTCGGGTCTGCATTTCAACAGGTTGTGGGTGTACCAACTGAGCTAAGCCCAGGAAGGAAGGCATGCGTTAACAGTGTTTTTTCGTCCTTTTTTTTGGAAGGGCGACAGCCTTGAGATAAATTGACCGGCCCCAGGTAATTCAGGAATTTCGTTCATCTGGTTCCAACTGGTTCCATCTGGATTCGAACTTGGGTCTGCATTTCAACAGGTTGTGTGTGTACCAATTGAGCTAAACCCATTGGTCACGGGTTAACAGTTGTTATGGAATAGGAAATGGCTCCTTGAATCTCTTTGAATCTCTTGTGATTTGGAAATAAAGCCAGTTAAAAATATGTGAGGTGAGAGGAAAAATATATGGCCGTCCCCCAATGAGAGATGGCTCCTTGATTTTTTGGGGGGTTTGCCCGTGAATGCTCATGAAGCCCCTCATCCCTCTCTCTGAGCACCGTATGTCTCGTGGCATTCCCCGGGTTTTTTACCTATCGATAGCACTCTGGCACATGCAGGTCATCTGTCCCTCTGGTATGCTATCCTGCCACCGGCACAGCAGGGTCTACCTCGTGGCAGACCCCATGGCCCACTCACCACTAGCTCCCTATTTCACTACCACTCCCTACAAGGATGCTCATCACCCGCCATTATGATCTCTTCACAGAGTACACCTACTTGACAGACAACCCTAGCGAACAGTAATCACAGGCACCAACACTGAGGTAGGAACCCAGCCCTGGTTTGCTGAGCCTTATCGCCCGGGTACTTCGGACGCGACGGGTAGGTGATTGAGCCCCATGAGCACAGCAGTTGTCCCCCAACCAGGGGTCATACCTAGACCAGCACTGAGGTAGGAACCCAGCCCTGGTTGAAGCACTATCGACCTAGGCTTATCCGCTTGGTACTTCAGTACTATAGCCTATAGGTAAGTGAGCCCCATGAGCACAGCAGTTGTCCCCCAACCAGGGGTCGTACCTAGAGGACCTTTATTAGTGAGCCACCGCAGGCAGTGTCTAATGGTACTAATCCCAAGGTCTGACCTAAGGGAGCCCTACCCTAGGTACCCCCCTTCCCACTTAACACATCCATATATGGTCCACTGTGTATATATCAGCTCATCTGTGCAAGTCTGCAGTTCGTAGGATGCTTTGTCCTACTGTATGTTTAGTGTCTGCACTCAGCCTCATCTGTAAGTTTATATATGTATTCCTACTGTATATATGGCCTGCACTCAGCCTCATCTGTAAGTCAGTATGTGTGTATTCTCTGTATGCACTCCACGGGCACCATCCTCGAGGTTCTCAGACCTACTGCAATCACCCAGCCACACATAATGGGCCTACGCACACTGACCAGGAACAGGACGTGGATCCCAATGCATCAAGGTAGGACAACCCTCAGTTTCTGTAAATCGCCCCCTACAAGACCTCACCTCCCCCAGTGATGGCGCCTTGGTAGAAGGATGCTCCCTTCACCCCACCCTACCCCCTTGTATAGAATAGGGCCTTCCCTCTCTACATCCGAGCTCTCCCGTGGGTAGTATCACTGCTGCTCGTGTGCACTATGTGCCAGGCTGGGGGGCATCCGAACTCTCCCGTGGGTAGTATCGCTGCTGCTTGTGTGAACTATGTGCCAGGCTGGGGGGCAAGTACGTGGGGTGTCGGCCTAACACCAACCACACTCGCACAGGGGAGGGTGAGGGTTGACCAGAGTCGAACCCATGACCTCCCCCATGTTTTTCCAGAGCTCCAACCACTGAGCTACCATGTCTCGTCCACTATGACGGAACACTCACCAACGCATATGACGGAACACTCACCAACGCATACCTCTCCCCAAATCCACCCACCAAACCTTGCCTCTCTCCAACCCATGGTAGGTTTACACCGTAGTGTTGATGCGAGAGCAAAGCTGTACCAGCCCCTCATCTCAGGTGAATTGCGGGGATGGGCATGGGTTACCCGCGGGCCAGCAGTCCTAGTGCCAAGCACTACGGCCACCTTTCCCTCCCCCACCAGCCTAAATTAGTGGTGTCTCATAGCCAATATCATTATTGCATAGCACCCAACGATATTAGCCAAGGTCTGCTGGCATGGGGGCCCAGTGGGATGACTCTAGATGGTAGGGCACCAAGCATGCCCAGGCACACATGTGAGGCGAATGGGGATTGAACCCACACCCTCCTCAATGCAGCTTGTGCGCCTTACCAACTGTGCTTGGCAACAGGAAAGTCAGTTGTGGGGTTGCAAACTTCTTTGTTGATAGAACCAGGATCAGATATTAAACCATTGTTTCAGGGGGAAAAAAGAGAAAAAGAAAGGAAACACCAGTTTTTGAGGCACTTTTCTCCGGGGCTGGAAACGCCCTGTGCACTACAAAACCATTGCAGGCCTCCTTTTGCCTAATGCCGCTAGCCATTTTGCTCTGGAGGCCGAGCCCCGAAAGTTGTGGGTGCATGCAAGCCGCATATTTTATTCTTTGGCTGGGAAATCTACTGGTGGTTTAAACCGGATGGGAAATCTACTGGTGGTTCAACCGGATGGGAAATCTACTGGTGGTTTAAACTCTTAGACCGGATACTACACTTTATCTCAGCCAAAAGGCTGATTTCAAATATACTTGAACATTTCTTCCCAACGGGCGTCTTTCCAATGTGAGCATTTCTTCCCATTGTGAGCCTGACCTTGGTATGAGGGCACTTTGTGGAATGCAGGTTGCTGAGATGGGGGAGGGAAAATAAGTCAACAAATGAACTCCTGGGCTGTGATCTGGCCCGTCTGGGTTCGATCCTGATAGCAGAGTAGAAGGCCCCAAGGGGTAGGAGTCTGGTAGGGAGACCTGTTGGAAAGAATGACGACCTGGTTTCCAGCAGCAGGAGCCGAAGCTGGGTAATGCTCCCCGGCCCCCAGGATTATCGGGGTTGTCTGTGAAGGACTCCCGGCCTCTTTCCCTTCTCTATAAGAAAATGTGCTTTGAACAGGCCTTGCTCCGTTGGTACACCCATCAACTGTTGACATACAGACTCAAGTTCGAATCCGGATGCAGTCAGATTAAGTAAATACTGTACTTCTAAATTACCTAGGCCCGGTCAGTCCACTGATGATATCTCAAGGCTGTCGCCCTTTTTTCTTGTTTTGTTTTCTAGTAGGATGGGCGGATATGTCCGTCGTCCGATGATAGGGTTTGAAATGGGCATAAACACAAGGTTGATTGGGTTACTAGCAAAGTGGCCTTCAGTAGGAGGCTCTGCCTTATTTAGCAGTTACTTGAGCAGGTCAAGCACATTCTGAGGTTCCTTTCGTCCAGGGTTGTCAGGTGACATGGCTGAGTGTCACCCACCCAGTACGATTGAACAGCTTGGCACGATTGGAATGTTGATGCTGTCGGTTAGTTGAGACCCCCAGCGTATGGGGGTCCTTCAAAGAATGAAAGAAAGAAAGAAAGAGACCCCAGTGTATGGGGGTGTGATAAGGAGTGGTCAAGCATGCAAAAGAAAGAAAAAAAAAGAAGAAGAAAAAAGAGACCCCATCGTACGGGGGTCTGATGGGGAGTGCTCAAGCATGCTTTTGAGACCAGCTCAATAAAGTGCTTGCCATGTTGAACACTATGGTGCAGATCTCAGGTCTCTTTCTATTCCTACCTCGCATCCACTCTCACTTCCTCCCCACCTCTCCCCCATTTCTGCCTCCCCCACTACCTCTCCTTATACCTTACTCCAAATCCCGTTCACCGGCA